GCATAACACAGCATTGCATAGCATAACGCAGCATAGCATGGCACATCAAACCATTGCATAGCATAACATAGCATAGCATAGCATAGCATAACATAGCGCAGCATAACATATCATAGCATAGTCTAGCATAGCATAGCATAGCGCAGCATAGCATAGCATAGCGCAGCATAGCATAGCAGATCATAACGCAGCATGTCTTAACACATCATAGCATAACATAGCGCAGTCTAGCATACCCTAGCATAGCATAGCATAGCATAGCGCAGCATAGCATAGCCTAGCATAGCATAGCCCAGCATAGCATAGCCTTGCTTTCCTAGAGGCTCCAACTCCTAGGTAGGGTCGCACTGGGATAATGTATTTCTATGTGTCGCCCAGAATCCGCCTGTAGGGGGACATGCCCGACCTAACCCTTGCCCAGGGCCGCTCCTGCGTGCCGCCGCGGCTCGCCGCTCGCCCTGCCTCCTCCCATGAAGAGGCTGCGCGGCTTCTGCGAGGCGAAGCTCGCCGTGCCCGGCGGGCAGTCCGGCCTCCTCAGGGCGGACCCCGCCCTGCCCGACGCGCGGCCGGCGCTGGACTGGGCGATGGAGCTCCGGGGCGCGATGGTCCTGGGCCTAGTGAGCCCTGGAAGCGGCAGGGTCACCGTTTCCGAAACAGTGTCTCTTGAGAATGAAAACTGCAGAAAGAAACGGCGACCGGAAGCAGCAAACAAAAATTGCTCCACGGAGCCGGAACCTGTAAAAAAGCGGCGACGGAGCCGGTGCAGAGACGGCGTCGGATCCTGCAGAAAAAACAGCAGAACGGAACCAGTAACAAAAACACAGCCTTGTCGCTTCCAGGGCCCACTCTCACCACCCACCAAACCACCGCAACCCAACCCGAAAGCCTCAATTTGCCCTCCATTTCCAGTGGGGGGGGGGTCGGGGAACATGGGAAAAACACATATGGAACCCGTACCCCCCCCAACCCGAAATTCGAGTCTTCGGGTTGGGTTGGGGTTGTCTGGTAGGTGGTCACACTTCAGGTCCTGGGCGGAGACCGCTGGCACCTCGACCGCGGGCTGCTGCGCTTCCCGGGGGTTGCCACTAGCTGCATGTACCTGGCTCGAGGCGTCCCCGCCCTGGCCCAAGGAGCTCCCCCACGGCCCCCGCAGAGCCCCCCTCACGAGGCCCAGAGGGCCCCAGGGCCTCCAATGAAGGGAGGGAACACCACCCGGACTGGACAGTTGACGTTTACTAAACACTGGCCACGCGCAGAAGGGGGTGGGGGGAGGGGGGAAGGCTTCTTAGAAGCACCCCTGCTTCTTAGAAGGCGCGGGCCTTCGTTGTAGATGTAAGGCCGGCGCCTTCTAAGAAGCAGCCTCCTTCTAAGAAGCCTTCCCCCCTCCCCCTACCCCCTTGTGCGCGCCGCCAAAAACAGCCTTGGGCGTTTACTAAACAGCCCTGCCCTGTTCGATTCCTTCTTTGCGTGCGTTTACTAAACGGCTTCGCGTGTCGGGGTGGCTACTGGGGTGGACTTTTGACCTCTATCCAAAATGGAGCGAAAAGCCGCGGACACCTTGGGCCAGGGACACCTTTAGCAACCCCCGAGCTTCCTCCTGGCGCGCGTGCTCCGCCAGGGAGACGTCGTCTGCGATTTCGGCGCGTTCGGTGGCCACTATTCGCGATGGCTTAACGACACTGGGCTGGTCACCGCGCTCGCTTTCGACGGCCTGCATCGCGTGACGGAGCCCCTGGGACAAGACAAATTGCACAATATTATGTTGTTCCCATCGCACTTGGGGAAAACATGCCAGAAATGATGTCGAGCACCCGGAAAGTATCAAAACAGCGTCTGCCCGACACGCTGGCGGAGTATCGAAAGAGTGTCGCCTCCCAGGGGCCCGACACGTAAAAGCCACCCAATTGTCGGATTTTCTGGTGAGCAAGGCCAAAGTAGGCCAGAACACCAGAAGCACGAAGACAAAACGTTCGGAGGCCCGCGCGGAGGTCTCGTTTTCGAAGGCCGAGTGTGAGCGAATCCGGGTCTGGAGTCGGTGACTCGTAGTCCCCCGTAAGTTCTACCGTGTGGCCTCCCGCATGGCTTCCCGTGTGGCATGGCCCCACTTCCGGCTGTCCTTGTGGTCTCCCGTGTTTTTTTTGTGGTCTCCCTTCTGGCTTCCCTTCTCGTCTCTCTTGTGGTCTCCCTTCTTGGGGCTCCCGTAGGGTCTGTCTGGTGGTCTCCCTTATTGTCTTCATGGTCTTCCGTATGGCCTCCCTTGGGCGTTCGTTGTATAGCCGTCTTCGGACGGGGCAACGACGAGGACAAATCCGTTCCAAAGCGTTCCGGAACGCCTGCAGAGCCTTCCGGAACGCTCCGAGAAGGCCGCGGCGCCCGAGACACCTTCCAGAGCCGCCGGAGCTCAGAGATCTTCGATGTAATCCTCCTCGTCCTGGCTTCGTCTGAACTCTCACCGTATTACACTTCACTCACTGCGGTACTCTCTACAGTGCTTTCTTCCGTGCTCGAAAGAGCTGCCTACGGTCAACCCGCATAGTAAAAATGAGCGACTTTCCTAGGTTACCCTTGCATCCTTCTCCTTCGGCCCATCCTTGGCCACTTTCGCTGGCCGCGCCCTGCTCGCAAAGTGTCGGCATGGCCGTCCAGGGCCCTTGCATCAATGTCGCGTCTTTATTATACGGGCTGACTGTCCAGTGCCCTCTTCCGTGCTCGGAAGATCCCAAATAATTATAGGGCAGACGTAAGACTCGAGTACGCCGGAACTCGGGTTCGCCTACGCTTTTCGACGAGCGCGTCCTGGGCTTTGACGGTCCAGTTTCCGTGGGATGTGTGCAGCGGGAGCTCGCGTCGAGTCTCAGGCTGAGTCGCGCCATGTTCATGATGGCCCCGTCGCGGGCCAACCCGAGTCCCCCGAACCCGAGTCTTCACGTCTCCCCGATACGGTTAGGTCGGGCATGTCCCCCTGCAGGGGGATTTTGGACGAACAATAAAAAAGATCAACCGAATATTCAAAAATATCCCAAACAAATAATCATAAAGTCGTCCCCATCTTATTTTGTTTTACTACTTTTGAGAACTCCTGTAGAGGGACACGCCCGACTGGCCCTGGACCCCCCTCCCTGGCGCGCGGAGCGCGCCAGGGGCGGCGCCGGAGGCGCCGCCAGGGGGGTCAGGGGCGGATCCGAGAGATCCGCGCGAACCTCCGAATTTGTATGCTTATGTCATTCTTCGTTCCCCTATTCACGCCTTCCCGACTGTTGGTTTTCTTGAAGTGCGTGGGGGTTCCATGAGTTTCGATGAACCCTTCCGCACCTCCCGCGGAGGTCGGAAGGTATGGAAGGTGGAGGTGTAGGGTCCGCGCTCGAAAGGGCCACTCACCCTGGACCCCCCTCCCTGGCGCGCGGAGCGCGCCCAGGAGCTCACGCGGCGTGCCGCGCCAGGCGGCCCGCGTGAGCTGCGGCGTAAGGTCGCTATGTCATGGGGAAGGCCTTGCGGCCAGTGCCGCCGACCCAGAGCGCTTGGAAGACGCGGAGGAAAACGCAGAGGAGGAGGTGGAGGAGGAGGAGGAGGAGGAGGTGGTGGAGGGAGGAGGAGGAGGAGGAGGAGGGAGGAGGAGGGAGGAGGAGGAGGAGGTGGAGGCGGAGGCGGAGGAGGAGGAGGAGGAGGAGGAGGAGCAGGAGGGAGGAGGGAGGAGGAGGAGGAGGAGGAGGAGGAGGAAGGAGGAGGAGGTCCGCGCTCGAACGGGCCGCTCAGAGCGCCCCCCCGCCGCCCAGGAGCTCACGCGCGGCCGCGTGCGGCACGCGCGGCTCGACGCCCCCGGGCTCCGCGCCGGCCGCTGCGACGTGGCCCTGTGCCTCGAGGCCTGGGCTCGCCGCCGCCGCCGCCGCGGTCGTCGGCAAGCGGGGGGGCCTTCTTCTCCTCCCTCCTGCCTCTTCTCTCCTCCCTCCTCCCTCCTCCTCCTCCTCCTCCTCCTCCTCCTCCTCCTCCTCCTCCTCCTCCTCCTCCTCCTCCTCCTCCTCCTCCTCCTCCTCCCTCCTCCTCCCTCCTCCTCCTCCCCTCCTCCTCCTTCTCCTCCTCCTCCTCCTTCTCCTCCTCCTCCTCCCCCTCCTCCTCATCATCCCGTGGCCGCCGTCGTTCGGCGGCCAGCGAGGGGGGGAAGCGGGAAGGAGAAGGGCGCGCGCAATGGTGGCCCCCCTCGCATGACGGGCCTCTGACGCGCGATCCCGCCGCCGGTGGGCCTCGGGGGGGGGGGGGGGGGGGGCAAGCCCCGAGCGAGGGCACGCAGAGGCCGCTGCTGCCACACCGCGCGCAGCGATGGGCAGGCACGGCAACGGGGCGGAAGCGAGAAGGGGAAGGCTTGTAGAAGGAGAAGGCTCTGTGGAGGAGGAGGAGGAGGAGGAGGAGGAGGAGGAGCAGGAGGAGGAGGAGGATGCGAAGGAGGAGGGGGATGATGAGGAGGTGTCTAGGCCTCCTAGATGGGGTCGGTATAGATGAGGTCGGAGGATCGTGCCGCATCGGCGATGCATCGCCGATGCGGATCGATGTGGGGTCCACTTTTCTCCGCGCCGACGTCGCCGATGCATCGCCCACGTCGCCAGTGCATCGCCAGTGCATCGCCGATGTATCGCCGATGCGGGAAGATCTGCCGACCCCATCTACTCGGACCCCATCTATGAGGCCTCTAGTGTGCAAGACGATCAACGGAGAGGAGGCATGTTGCCAGATAAGGTTCAGATGTCGTCAACATGTTATAAATAAATTGGAGCGTGCACAAAGCAGAATTGAAGACATGTTGGGCACAGGTTCAAGACATGGGATCCACGAGGGAATGCCGTCTCAGAAGGCGGTGGGATCTCTCAGATCAACGAGCGCGTTCCACTACTCTCAAAGTGCCTACTCGCAAACGTCCGACATATATCCTGTCTTCCTCGACGTAATGTATCCCAGCTCCCCAACGGCGGATCCAGGCCATTTGCGAGTAGTCACGTTGCGAGTAGTGGAGCGCGCTCGTCTATCAGAAGCCCTCGCGCCTTCTGAGAAGCTGTCCGTGCCTTCGGGGAGGAGGCTTCGAAGAAACTTGCCCGAAGGCTGGAGGGCTCCAGGGCCTTCTCTGGGAAGGCCCGCCCCTTCTCGCTTGCCCCCCCCCGCGCTCGCCGCCACGCCGTGGTCGTCGCTGCCCCCAGACCCCATCGCAGCGAAGAGCTCGAGATTGAGGCTGCTCTCAGGGTTCGGCCTTCGTGGGCTCTCGCCCGGCCGCCGGGACCATCGAAGATACGCTCGGGATGAAAAAACACTGGCCCTGGGGACAAGGCCTGGACTTCCGTGGACCTCGCGTGGGGAAACAGAACGTCGGACGTCTGTGCTCCAGATGTCCCCACCGCTTCCCCGGGGGCAGCGCCTCCGTGCTCGATGGTCCAGAAGCGGACCCCGGAGGCCGAGGTCCAGGAAAAGCGCCGGGCCCGAGGAAAGAGATCCTCGTCGGAGATGCGGCGGCACCGTGGCCGTCGCCGTCGTGGTCGTGCGCCGCCGTCCGCGGTCGCCGCAGCGGTCGCAGCGGCCGCCGTGCCCCCGAGAGGTCCTGGAGCACGTCCCGCGCCCGCGCGAGGCTCAGGAGAGGAAAAAACACACAGACACAATTAGTCCTCGATTCCCCAGAAAATGTGGAAAAATATGGGAAGTGGGGGGAATATTCTTATTTGTGTGTATGTATTTGTGCGTGCCGCGCCCGCGCGAGGCGGCGGCGCTGCAGAACCTGGCCCGCCACGCGCGGCGGGCCCTCGTGCTCAGCTGGGCGCCGCCGTGGGTGCCGGGCGAGGGGCACGTGAACCAGCGCACGCCCGAGGACTTCCTGGGCCGGGTCGAGCAGGGGGGAAGCGTCCTATAGCTCGCGTAATTCCAGGCCTGCCACAGACTGGTTTGGGGAATCTCTTTTGGGGTGCGCGCGAAGTGGTCTGAGAACAGTTCTGGCTGAGACTGTCTTGGTTTAACACATCGGGCTCACGTTCTAAGAGCATGGTTTGTGTTATTAGAACATTTGTGGGTTCTAAGAACATGTCGTGGTAGGCCTGTAGGAATGCCGGGACGGTCGGTCCCTGCTCAATCGGTTCGGGCTGCGAGGCTCGAGGCTCGAGGCTCGAGGCTCGAGGTTCCAGTTCACGCCGGTCGTTGGAAGTGGGTGTTCTTGGACTATACCAGATCCCGATCTGCTCCTGGCGCCTTCCTGGTGCAAGAATCCATGTTGCTGGTCGTGCAGTATTGCTCTCTGGGTGGGGCCGAACCCAATCCGCTCTTCATGTTTTTTTGCTTACTTCTTACGACCGACGGGTAGTGGTGCCGACATCCGTCGGCATCTCGGTTCAGGTGCTGCCAGCTCGAGACACCGGCAGGAGTCCACAGGTGAGCCCAGCGGTGCTCGAACGGGTTCTCACTCTGGCCGCGCACCGAGCACCCACGATGGAAATGAGCATGGCTTTGCCTTGCGGCCTCAGCGAGCACACGCACGCGCTTATAGAGCTCTTTTTGTCGTGGCGGCTCGCCTCCGAGACGCGGTCTGGGCAGCCGAGGGACGCTTCGGGACCCAGCTGGGCACAGCAGGAGCAGGCACGGCGCGGAGGGGGCGACAGGACGCCGCGGGCGGTGGAGCACGCTCAGGCCGTGAAGTTCTTGTGCGCGTGTTCCTCATCATCCTCCTCCTCTTCCTCCTCCTCCTCCTCCTCCTCCTCCTCCTCCTCCTCCTCCTCCTCCTCCTCCTTACGCGGCCAACGAGCCAGGGCGCGGCAAGTGCAGGGAATGCCCGTGGCCGCGGCTCCGGGAGGCAGCGCACGCATGCGAGGCATGGGAAGGACAGTCGAGGGTGCAAGGGAAGTGCGCAGGGCCAGGGCAGCGACCGCACGTGTCGCCGGAGAGCACGAGGCATGGGACGAGGCAGACCAGCAGCCCCATCACATCGCGTGCTTGCAGGCGGCAGTGCCTGCAACACGACGACTGGAGGATCCTGCTCCTCCTGGGGCGCCCTCGCGGCCACGGCCCGAGCCGCCCCGAGGTGCTGGTCTGGACACGCCGCAGGGGAGGTCGGGGGGCCGACTGGTGGCTTCTGGCCAGGGGGGCCAGGGGCAACGACAGGGGGGGGCTGGCCGGGGGGCGGGAGCGTCGACCCCCCCATCTCGGCGGCGAGCCCAGGGGGGGGGGGGGAGCGAGAGGGGGCTTCTATTACGTCGGGCGTGTCCCTCTACAGGAGGAATATTCAAGAATAGTCAAAAAATAGTCTAGGGACGATGTTTAGAATCTTTTTTACTATTTTTGAGTATTGTTTGATTATGTTTTTTTTTTCGTCCAAAATCCGCCTGTAGGGGGACATGCCCGACCGAAGGCTTCTCAGAAGCACCCGGACCTGCTGAGGAGCCGTCTCTGCCTGCAGCGCAGGCTTAAGAAAACTTCTCGGAAGGCCCGGGGCTCCTCGAGCCCTCTGAGACCAACCCCTCCCCCCTCTGCATTCCTCCCTGGGGCTCGCCGCCCCCAACCGCCTCTCCCTGAGACCCAGACATCGCCTACCATCACGACGGGAGCCCTATAGACCCCATCTTTCTACAGCGCTTTTGTTAGACACAGATCCGACATACGTGATGGCCCCAGGGGTCAAACGCCTGGCGCGAAAAAACTGCACCGCCCGGCTTTGAGCGCCCATTCCTCGCCGATCGGGGGCCGGGGGAAGAGGCCGTTTCAGCTCAGAAGATGTTCGCATCCAGTGGATATGAACACCTGCCCGCCCCGAGGCATCCCTAAGATCCTGGAGTCTCAATGCTTTCGAGCTGGGCGTGCTCGCGTAATCTCGCGTTGTCCGCCTGGCCGATGTCGATGTCGATGTCGGCTTCGTCGGCTTCGTCGGCGCGTTTCGGTTCCGGCCCGTTTCGGCTCCGTCGGTCTGCTTTGGCCTCGGCCCGGTTCGGCTTCGGCCCGCTTCGGTCCCAGTCCCTCGCGGCTCCGGCCCGCGCCGCAACGGCCGAGCCGCGACGCGCTGCACGCCGAAACAGGCCCGAAGCTGGGTCGGGCGCTTGCGAGGGGACCCCCCGGGGTGCGGGCGGAGGCGAAACGGCTTCTTTTCGAGCGCGCTGAGTCGCTGGGCCCCCGATGCGCAAGGTCGTCGCGCTGATCATCTGCCTCGAGGGGGGGTGTTCTAGAGTCGCGTGTCGTTCCGCGCCCCGTCAGGGACCCCATCCTCGACCAAGAACCAATCGACCATCTACGACCCGCTGCGTCGCAGGTGGGTCGCAGGTGGGGTGGTGTCGCAGGTGGGTCGTAGTTCGGCAAACGCCAAAACATCCAACATTGGAGGCCCAAATATACTTGCTACTGGAAGACGAATATTTGGGGCCAATGCCAAATACCACTCTCACCTTCTAGCCAAGAGCGTCTATGGACACATTTGGTCCCGTGACGTCTACTGGCGCAGTCGGGGTGGATGCGTCTATGGACAACGCGGCCGCTGCGTTCGTCGCAGCGCAAGGTCGGAGGGTAGATATGTCTGCGGCACTTGCGTGCTCTGCAGCAGGTCCCACGTGGTGCTCCAACTTCAACGTCGCTGTGTCGTAGGCGGGGTGGTGTCGCTTGATCTCTGGCTCCCGCACCCCCACGGGCGCCCCGCTGGCCGAGCCCTGCCACGGGCCGACCGTACCGCCCACGACCCGCCGCGCCGCAGCTCGGTCGCAGGTGGGGTGGTGTCGCAGGTGGGTCGCCGCTGGGCAGGTGGCAGAAGCCAGGCGAAGGCTGGCAGACCCGTGGCTGCTAAAACGAAGCTCCGGGAACTTGTTGTTTTTTCTTCTGGGAAGCAGCCCGTTTACTATTTGGCGCGCTGAGAGTTCTTCCGGGAATTGTTTTTGTTTCCTCCGGGGATAATTATTGTTTGAGCAGCCACGGATCTGCCAGCCCCCGCCCAGCTTCTGAAAGTGCCCAAACCGTCAACATCGCTGGGTCGCAGGCGACGTGGTGGCATTTGAGTTCGCGTCCCCGCCCGCCCATGGCGGCCCCCTGGGGCCCGGCAGAGTGGTGCCCCGCGGGCTATCGGCGTCGCATAGAAAGGGGGGGCGATCGCTGGTGGGGCAGCGGGGCCCCTGAAGGCACCCTCTCGAGTCGAAAGGGCGTCCTCTGTCGCAGGCCAAGAGGTTGAAACCAACACCAAGATCGGCAGTGTGCCTCCACCGAGGGAAGACGATCCCGATCTCGCCGATGGTGGTACTATTCTGGCTTCCGAGGTGGCCGAAATATTACCACCAACACCGACATCTAGGATCATCTTCCCATGTGGAGGCAAACCCCTTGTGCTGGTGTTGGTGCCAATTTCCAGGCCTCCAACTCTGGGGCCCGACCAGTGCGCCTTTCTCCCCCCCACCCCTCCCCCTGACCTTCCAGAGTGCTAAAAAACGACCCTCAGACCTAAAGACCTACCGGGACTGCGTAAAACCTCGACAGGAATTTGGGCACCATGGTCCAGGTGTAATTTTTTGTGTAGCCCTCCTGGAAGGTCAGGGCCATCGCCCCCCCCCAGGAAGCGCGGCCCGAGGGCCGAGCACTGCCACGGGGAGGGAGGGACGGGGGGGGCCGGAGCGAGCCCTCGCGGGCGCGCCTCGGGGAGGAGCGGGTCCCGCGGGCCGCCCCGCGCCTCGCGGCCGGGCCCTGCGGAGGCCCGCCGCGGGGGGCAGGGAGTCGACTTTCCGTCCCGGGCCCATGGTCGTCTGGTGGCCTTCGGGGGCCCCGAGGTGAACAGTCGGAGGTGGACAGGCCTCCAACCCCGACACGTCGGTTAGCGAATTGGCCGTTTTCGCTTCGCGAGGGGGCGTCGCGGCCGTCATTTCTGCGGGTCCAGGGCCGTCGGTTTCGGTCCCAGGCCGTTTTCACTAAAGGGAGGTTTACTAAAGGGAGGTTTGTCCACCGCCGAAACAGTGCGACCCCAGCCCCCACAACCATGCATTTTATATGTCAGCGTTTTACAGCTATGGCGAATGTGCGCAGGTGTAGGCGCCCTGCAAGGGAGGCCATTGCCAGCTGCCGCCCGCGGGGGGGCGGGCCCGCGCGCGCGGTCTAGTTGGTCTAAAGTTCCTCATGTGGGAGGGGCTGTTTTCATGCACTCACCAGGGCCCGAAGCCTCTCAGGTAGGATCCGAGCAGGCGGGGTCGGAGGGCCACCTGGCATCGCACAGGAATGTTTTCTGCGGCGAGGACCATCCAGGAGCATCTTGTATCATCGTTGCGAAAAAAATGCGCGCACGAAATCGGCAGATGCACGGGGAATGGGCGTCCGAGCGATGGCGAGGCAAGTGTTGATGTGGGCAGGTTCTTGCGTGTTCAGGTGTTCCTGCAGGTTTTACAGCCTCGGGGTGCTCTCCGGCAGCTACGCCTCGTGGGCATGTTCTTGGGTTTTCGGCCGTATACCTGGAGGTCTTCCGGCCTCGGGGTGCTCTCCAGCAGCTGCGCCTCGTCGAGGGCGCTCTGGGGGTGCAAGAGTCGTCCTCGGCTGTTCCTGGGGGGTGTCCAGCAGCTGCGCCTCGTCGAGAACGCTCCAGGGGTGCCAGAGTCGTCTCGAACGGCCGCCTGCGGCCTCCCAGATGCTGGGATAGGCGCGGGGGGTGCTAAGGGGAGAAGGGGGGTGATCAGTAGATGCCAAGAAGGACTAGATATGCATACAGACAGACAGACAGGCAGGCAGACAGACAGACAGACAGACAGGCATGCATGCATCCATATCTATATATATATATATGCATATACACACATACACATACATACATACATACATACATACATACATACATACATACATACATACATACATACATACATACATACCGACAGACAGACAGACAGACAGACAGACAGACAGACAGACAGACATACCGACATGCATATATACACATGCATATATACACACGTACATACATATACACATACACACATATACACATGTATGCATACATACATACATACATACCTACATACATACATACATACATACATGCATACATGCATACATGTATACATGCATACACGCATGCATACATGACACGATATGTATACACATATGTATATATATATGTGTGCATGCATGCATACGTGCATGCATGAATACAAATACCCAGATATATACGCATATACATAAATATGCATAGCATACGTATAACCACACACGCAAACAGCCAGACATGCATACATGCATGCATGCACGCGTACATGTTCGCAGACATGCATACGCACATACATACATACACACATGCATACATGCATACATACATACGTACGCACATACATACAGTCATACATACACATGTGCATACACACATACGTACATGCTTACATACATGCATACATACATGCATGCACGCATCCATACATACATACATACATACATACATACATACATACATACATATATACATGTGTGCGTGCATGCATACATACATACATGCATGCTTACACAAGTACATCATCACTCATCTATAAAAACGTACATGTACATATCCATGCACACGTACATGCATGCGTCCATACATAATGAATGCATGCATCCATGCATACATGTGTACATGCATGTATGCATGCATACATACATATATTCATACGTACACGTACATGTGCATACAAACAAACATGCATGCATACATGCATACATAAGTGCGTGTATGCATACATGTGTGTGTGTGGCTTAGCCCGCTTGGTGAGTGAGTTACACATGACCCAAATGGCTTAGGGGGTTCACGATCTGGGCGAAGTGGGCTATGCCCACTGAGCGAAGTTATCTAGACCCCCTTGCGCCATGTGGGAAATGTGTGATCCACTTGTGAGCTGGGATAGGCCAGACATAACCCACCTTGGCATCCACCGGACCCCCCCTACCCCCGTAGCTCCCCGCGCGCCCGTCCAGTGGGCCCCGAGACATTCTGTCAAGAGAGGGGGGTGAAGGCAAATCCGCTCCAAATCCGTCCCCAGACCCCTCTTCGGGGTCCGTGTGTTATGCAGTTTTTCCCCCCGGATGCGTTGTTGACGGTCACGGGCCCCGGAGACGGCACCCGAGAGCCGACAAAAAGAAGGCAAAAAACCTTGTCGAACTTGGAACCTCGGACCTCGCCCCCCCCTGCCTGCTCGCTGGAATTCCGCGCCGGGCCACCTCAGACCCCCAGCGGGCTCCAAGCTTTCCGTCCCGGACCCCGCTTTTGTGATGGCCCGGGTGCCCGAAAGCGTTTCCTCACGGCTGACATCAAGAAAGCATACCGGTTGAAAAATTGATGTTGCTTCGAGCGGTCCTCGACTACACGTAAGAGTGACCCTTCGCCGGAGTGACCTTTGGTGCGGGCCCATTGGGGTCCCCGATCGCCGAACGCGTGGCGGCAGTGGCGTCTTGCGCGCTTGTGTTTGGTCCCCCCCGCGGCCCCCCAAAAGCCGCGCACCAAAGGTCACTCCTACCCAGGGTCACTCTTACGTGTAGCCGAGATCCCCACCCAAGGACGCGAGGCGATATACCCAGGGAGCACCGGCACACGTTGGGCCTGGCGGCCGCAGTATGCAGTCGTCATCCGTCGCAGGTCAGCCACGCGCAGAGGGGGGTGGGGGGAGGGGGGAGGGCTTTCTTACAAGCACCCCTGCTTCTTAGAAGGCGCGGGCCTTATCTATAGATGTAAGGACGGCGCCTTCTAAGAAGCAGCCCCCTTCTAAGAAGCCCTCCCCCCTCCCTCCGACCCCTTGTGCGCGCCTCCAAGAAGGCACGAGCCAGGAGACCCAGGGAGCACCAGCACCAGGCGTGCCAGCTGGTCGGGAGTTTTTTTGTTGTTTTAAAATAGCATTACGTCGATCGTGTCCCTCTACCGGAGGAATATGAAAAAAAATAAAATTTGGGGATGATATGTTGAGTACATTTTTGACTATTTAAGAATATGCGTTGTTGACTAGTTTTCATTTTTCGACAAAAAATCAGCTTGTAAGGGAACATACCTGACCTAAAAGTAGCAACCCCCTCTGTTGGTTGAACAAGTCATACAGTAGTTGCCCATGCTAAGAAACACCCTGCTTGCCTCCAGGGTGCCCTGCGTTTCTCGGGCTTCGATGGCTATGCCATGGAAGAAGCGTGACGCCCCCACACCAAAAAACATCGATGGGTCGGTGGACGCCCTGGGGTCTCAGGCTTGGGCTTCTGGTGGAAGGCTTCTTCTGGTCGGGCCCCCAGTGTCTCTTTCGAGACCTGGGGAGGCCGCTCTTGCCCGCGGTGGGGGAGGGGGGGCAGCCGCCGCGCGCGGTCGGGCGAGGGTGGGGACCTCTCCTCCGACGCTGCACCCTTGTTCGCGACGACGTCGCCCCCCAGGGGACTTCGACTGCTTTTTGTAAGGGCCCAGCGCTAACCCGGGTTATCGGGCTTGCCCTTCCCCCTCCCCCTTTCTCGCCCTCCCAGAATAACCTAACCTTGCCACCTTGCCGGTCGTGCAGCTCTGGGGTGGGGGGGGGGGGGGCGCGGGCACGTGCAGGGCCGCCCTCAGCGCGGAGGCTAAGTTATCGGCCAGCCCCCTCCTCGCCCCCCCCCCGGATAACCCGGGTTATCTCAGCCACGCGCAGAGGGGGGTGGGGGGAGGGGGGAGGGCTTCTTAGAAGCACCCCTGCTCCTTAGAAGGCGCGGGCCTTATCCATAGATGTAAGGCCGGCGCCTTCTGAGAAGCAGCCTGCTTCTAAGAAGCCCCCCCCCTCCCTCCGACCCCCTTGTGCGCGCCGCCAATTATCGCCGATCCAAAAAAACGGTCTCCTGGGGCCGGCTTCTCGTCCCGCGCCGCTCTCTGACGGTCGGCCCCGGCTCTGCTCGCTCGGGCCGCCGTCCCGCCGCCACGGTGTCTTTCCCCTGGCCCTCGCGCGTTCGCCTGTGTCGGGCCCTGGTTCGGTCTCGCTGCTGCCTGGCGTTTGCTTAAGTCGGGCCTGTCCCTCTGGCATGGGGACGATTTTTCAGTATTTTCTGCATTTGTTGCACGAGTTTTGCACATGTTATATTTTTCGTCCCAAATGCGCCTGTAGGGGGACACGCCCGACCTAAGCGTTTGCGCTTGACCCTCACCCACGACCAAAACAGAACGGAAGCAAAACAACGGGCCACCTCAGACCCCCAGCTGGCTCCTCGTTCGGTCGCGCTGCTGCCTGGGCCTTTTGCGCTTGACCTGACGTCGGGCGTGTCCCTCTACAGGGGGGGAATACTCAGGAATAGTCAAAGAATAGTCGGGGGCTATTATTTTAGTATGTTTGATGAGCATGTTTTGCATGTTTTGCATGTTTTTGCTTGTTTGGAACTTTTCGTCCAAACTGGGCTGCCTCAGTCCTGAACAGGGACTCAGACGTCAAGGTCCTGGTGCTCTTTTCCTGCCCTCCTGGAAGATCAGGGAGGGGGGCGGAGCGGCCAAGCTCGCGCTGCGGTTCGAGGCAAGGGGGGGGGGCACTCCGCCGCGCGCTCCAGCCCGGTGGTTGCGACGTGAGCCCGCCTGCATACATTTACACATGTACAAGTAAAATTGCAAATACATTTACATTTACATAAACATAGACATGCACATACCTCTACATATACCGTACATATACACCTGCATATTCATTTACATCTACATGTGCAGATACAGGTATGCATGTATGAATGAAGATGAATGAATGAACGAATGAATGTGTATACGTGTATACAAATGTATATGTGTGTATATATAAATATACACGTATCTACACAGAGAGAGATCACATGCTTGAGGCCACGACTTCCACGCCGCGCCCTGACGGGCACGGGCGGGCTCCCCCAGGGGATCGCGCACGCCTTCGGCCTTCGCGCCCGCGCTCGCGCCCGAGGAGGCGCGCCGGGCGGTGGCGGCGGCCACGGGCCTGCGCCTCGACCCCGGGCTCACGGCCGAGGCGGCCGGCCGCGCCGAGGCCCGCGCGGCGCCCCGCGGGGGGGGGGGGGGGGGGGGGCCAAGGCACTGCCCACGCGTCGAGGCTCGAGGGCCCGGAGTTCAGATCGGTATCGTCTGACCGATCCCCATCCCCTTCGAGACCCCCACCAAATATACCACCCCAGTTGGGGATACCACCCCTCGAAGCCCGAGGAGGACGACCTGTATTCCCATCTAGGGGGGTAAATCGGCCAGCGGGGCCCAGGCCACGCCGCTGGGGTTGGGGATCGGTTCAACGATATTCATCAGATGAGGAACACCAGGCGATCGCAGACATGGATCAAGGGGGCGTGGATTAGCGACGGTTCCCGTTTCCGCGGGACATCGCGGATTTCCGCCGCCGAGCGAGGCGGCATTGGCCGCATTTGGGGGAGGGCACCTCCCCCGATCCATGGATTTGGCGACCGCGCGCCAAATCCATGGATCGCTAATCCATGTTTGCGCGCCCCCGAGAAAAGGCATTCCAGATGTCGTAAGGAACGGGAGGGGGGTCACGACCCTCACAGACGAGCAGTTCAAGACCCCCCTAGACCAGCCATGAAAGGGCGGCCTTGTGCCCAGACCCCACCGGAGCCCTCCAAGACAGCTCAAAGCAGACCACCTCCCAAATCAGACCACCACCCTCTTATTCTAAAATCAGGGGTGCCCATACCGCTACCCCTCCCTCGTCTTTCCCCTTAGTGGGCCTCCTGGGAGGCCCTCGTCGCAACGTCTGGATTCGCCTCGAAATTCTGGTCAGAAGGCACCCCAGGAGAGGTTCGGGGAGTAGCGGTATCAGTACTTGTTCCCAGTATCGTTTGACCGGCCCCATATCCCCATCCCCATCCCCATACAGACTCCCACCATCTCAGAAGCCCAGTTGGAGATATAACCCTCGAAACGCAAAGGGAGCAATATCCCCATCTAATTAGGGGGATAGATCGGCCAGTGGGCCCCAGGCCAGACCGTTGGGGATAGGGATCGGATAAAAGATGCCCACAGAGTTCCGACGATTTTCACCCCAGCAAGGCGTCGTGATTAATGGCAGCAACGGGGAAGAGGCGGGCGAGGAGCAGGAGGCCGGCGGATGACAGCGTGCATCTTGATGTATAGTTATTCCTGTGGATCCCACAGAAAAAGCACGGCCTTGTGCACCACAGTGCATTTTTCCCCAATCAGTGCTTGCACTGAAGGGGTCCCAGCGGAAGTTGAAAGATTTGGCAAAAGTTTCCCGCCGATTTTGGTAGCAGGTTGGGTTCCCGGGTTGCCGGTTCCGGATTCCCAGGTTCCCGGTTATTGGTTCCGGGCCGATTTCGGTGGGTTTGGGGTTCCTGGGCTCCCAGGTTCCCTGTCGATCTCCTCAGCGAAAACCATCCACTGATTGGGGTTTTTCTCTCGTGTAATTGGACCGCGGATCTTGCCTGTCCAGAGCAAAAATCTAGCTGGCATTTGCGCGGGAGCACGATTCCTGAATACATCGTCAGGAAGTCTCAGGCGACACCGCCGCCAGACCGTGCCGGACCAGACGGTCCAGGGCTCCCCAGTCCCAGGCACTCTTCTGCATGATTTTACTTATGAGAACCCTCAAGCGAAACCCTGTCAGTTTCCTCGGTTTCGACTCTCCGCGCGGGGGCCGTTTTCGGGGCCGGGACCGAGAAGATTGTCCCGGGACAACTACCCAAGGGAAGGGGTTGGGACCTCTGCGACCGCAGATCGAACAAATCACGTCGGCGGATGGCAGGGGACCGAACTTTGACATGTTTGCCCCCATCTAGGCTTGCCTGAGGGATTCTTGCTTGGTTAAAGTAACGGTGCCTCGGAGGCTTACTTTGCCCGTTGCTCGGAGATTCCCCAGGCTCCCCGGGTCCAGCGAGTTCCCCAGGTTCCTCGGGTTCCACGGGTTCTTCGGGCCATGCGGGTTCCTAGGTTGATCCTCGGGTTCCTCGGGGTCCTCGGGGTCCTCGGGTTCCCTGGGATCCCCAATCAACGCCAAGCAATGAGAAGCAATGCCAAGCACTGCGCCCATGCAACAGGAAGCTTTCCCCTAATCGGGGTCGCGCCAGGTTCATGTCTTTTTGGAGGTCCTCCAGGGTGGCTCGTTGCCACGGCTGGATCCGCCTTGACATCCTGGCCAGAACGCACCCCGGAACAGGTCGGGCCCTGACATAACAACAACAACAACAACAACCAACAACCAACAACAACCAACAACAACAACAACAACCAACAACAACCAACAACAACCAACAACAACAACAACAACAACAACAACCACAACCACAACCACAACCACAACCACAACAACAACAACAGCAACAACAACAACAGCAACAACAACAACAACAACAGCAACAACAACAACAACAAAATTTCGGCGGCATGCTTCTGGTGCTTTCCCTGCGGTTCTTGGGCGGATTTCTCGCCGCGGGATGCTCTCCAGCAGCGGTGCCTCGTCGGGAGCGCTGCGGGGCCGCCTGGATCGTCCACGTCGGCCGGCGGAGGCCCGAGCTGCAGACCCCCGGGAGGCTCCTACTGTTCAGGAGGGGAAAAAACACACAGACACAATTAATCGTCGATTCCCAGGAAAATATGGGAAACTATGGGAAGTGGGGGGGAAGACAAAAACCCAGAAAATATGGGAAAATATAGGGAATATTTTTATGTGTGTGTATTTATGTGTGTGTGTCCTGGGGCCCCTTTAACTGTGCCCCTGCGGGATCTCGTTTCTGTCGGCCTCTGCGGGCCTCTGGGAGGCGTCTCGTCGCCACGGCTGGATTCCCTCTGACCAGGTTCGCATGCACCCCGCGACAGGTCCCGGGGTCGATATGCGACCCTTGGGCGCAGACATTCTCGCGTAGTGAGAACAAAACGTTTTTGCGGCTTCCCTCAATCTTCGGCCACCGGGGTCCCTTTCCAGGCGCCAGGCCCGACAACCGACAACTCCAGGGATGCAAAGCCAGTCCCCCAGAAGGGAATTTTATAAAAAAATATGGGTAGGAAGTCACCAGCCCCTCCCAGAAATCGAGGATCAAGGAGGAGGAGGAGGAGGAGGAGGAGGAGGGAGAGGATCGACGATCGAGGAGTCCTCGAGGAGGTCTTGGACGTCCTGAGGCGTCTCTGACGATCCTGGGGGTGTCCAGGGGGTCCGTGTCGTCGAGGAGATGGTAAACTCCCCCTGGTAATGATCCTCCCTCCCAGACATCCCTCGATCTGAGTTGTTCCATGCGCAGCCCAGAGGTCCCGACTCCTTCCCCGGAGCAAGTTGTTCGCTCTGGGCCCGTTTTTGACGGCTCCAGGGGCTTCATAACAAGCCGCAGAGGCCCAAAAGAAGGAAGAGATGCCGGCATTGGACACACAAAAAAACATACATTGTCAGAGGTCTCGGCTTGCCGTTTGACTTGGAGGCGAGCTGGGTGGCCATGTCTGTGGCTCTTTGTCCCCGGGACCGGCTTTTCATCCCGAGTCGTGCTTTGTCTGTCTAGGCTTCCTAGATGGGGTCCGAGTAGATGGGGTCGGAGGATAGCGCCACATCACCGATGCATCGCCGATTCGGCTCCATGAAGAGCCTGATTTGCTCCGCGCTGGCGTCGCCGATGCACCGCCGACGTCGCGGATGCATCTCCTGAGCATCGTTGATGCCTTAGCGATGCGGCGCAATCCTCCGAACCCGTCTACTCAGACCCCATCTGAGGGGCCTCCAGTCTGACGTACCAGAGGCCGTGGTGGGCTCCCGCGTAGGCAGCCAGTAGCAGCTGGCAGAAGCTCTGTCGCGAGGCCGAGGAGGCCCCCAGAGGCATAGAATGGCAAACAAAAACCATCGTGATTGTCTCGCGGCGCGGGGATGTCAAGGATCAGCACTGCCTCAGGGGAGCAAGGTGTCATGATACTGACACGTTCCAAGATTTCACAGATTTCGCAGATTTCCTAATCGTCCACACGGGCGCTGCAGAAACGTGGGCCGCTAGATGTTCTGGAAATCTTAGAACGTATGTTGAGCCACTACTATCATGACACCATTGTCGTTATGCTGTCTGGCGTTGCTGACGCGCGCGGCTCTGCATTGGCAGTCCGCGGCATGCCCAAACGCGTGTTCAGTGTGTGATCGATGAAGCACGAGCCACTGGCAGTGAAAGTCGGCACAGGTATTGCAGTCAATAGTCTGATCAAGAGGCTTACTCAGAAGCTGGGCGAAGGCTGGCAAACCCGTGGCTGCTAAAACAGAGCTCCGCGAAATTGTTTGTTTTTCTCCCGGGCAGCAGCCCGTTTACTATTTCATGCGCTGAGCTTGATTCCGGGAGTTTGCTTTTTCTTCCAGGAGGACTTTGTTAGCAGCCACGGATTTGCCAGCCTTCGCCCAGCTTCCAATTTACGCCATCCCGCCGACCCCCACGAGGAAAAACGAAGTCCACGGGTGAGAGCCCCTTTGGGGGGGCCTCGTTTTGATGGGTGAGCCCTTTGGGGGGGCTTCATTTTGGCATCCTGGGGGCCGCAGCTCTGGGCCTCCTCGGGCGCCTGCCGGCGGCCTCAGGGGCCCGCCCTCCTGGCGCGGAGGGCTCGACGTGTCAGCTCGAGCTGCCCCTCTTGGGCCTCCTCCTCCTCCTCCTCCCTCCTCCTCCTCCTCCTCCTCCTCCTCCTCCTCCTCCTCTCCTCCTCCTCCTCCTCCTCCTCCTCCTCCTCCCCCTCCTCCTCCTCCTCCTCCTCCTCCTCCTCCTCCCCTTCACCCCAGCAAGCGAAGTCGGCCGGTCGTTCGGGAGCCTTGGGACGGGGGTCAACGCAGACGGGGGTCAGCCAGGGCACCGGGTCCTGCAGGATCCTGCGAAGACCCCTTCTGGCTGACCCGGGTTCGCGAGCCGCTCGCGGCCGCGAGGCGGCCGCGCATATTGGCGGACCCGGGTTTGCGAAGCCCTGCGTTGCAGTTTTTTGTTCCTGCATTTCAGTTTTTTGGTTTCCTGTTGACCCGGGTCTGATTGACGCGGGTTAGCAGATCCCCGAATCGTCCACTCCACGGCCTTTGGACGGTGTTTGGATCAGCGCTGCTTCCATTCAGGTGGACTGGCTGGCCGAGTCCGTGGCGGTCTTCCTGCGGGGGGGCAACGCCACCTCTGGGGGCGGGGGCGGCGAAGACGGGGGCGCCGCGCTGCAGGAAGAGAAACGGTGTCGGCTCCCCTTGCCTCGCTTCTGCCCGCGCCTCGTCGTCGTCGTCGTCGTCGTCGTCGTCGTCGTCGTCGTCGTCGTCGTCGTCGTCGTCGTCGTCGTCGTCCCTGCTCCCTGCTCCATGCTCCTTGCTCCCTGTTCCCTGCCCTTGCTCCTTGCTTCCTGCTGCTGCTCTTCTTCCTGGGGGTGGTGTTCCTCCTCCTTTCGCCCGCTTGCTGTACGACGCTCCCAGAAGAGGTGCTCTCCGCTGGACGGGCCTCCAGGCGCGCCCCCAGAGGAGGTCCGCCTCTGGACGCCCTCGGCACGGCCTGGCTCGCATGCAGCGATCCGGCCCTGCTTCCCACATCCGTTCGCGGGGGCCCAGACGCGTTCCACAGATCACCGGACACAGCCACCAAGCACCCTTCCTACCTCCTGCCCCTAATTACTCCCCCACCCACTCCTGCCCCCCTCTCCCAATCTTTCTGCTGTGCCGTTCGAGCCGCATCTGTCTGTGACGGTTCCGGGGCCCGAGACTGGGCAAAGACGCGCAGCGCGAGAGAAATGCAACGCTTAGGTCTCACAGTGGGGGTGTTCCTCCTCCTCCTCCTCCTCCTCCTCCTCCTCCTCCTCCTCCTCCTCCTTCTCCCCCCCTCCTCCTCCTCCGCATCCCTCCGCTCGCCTCGCCTCGCCCCCAATCCCTGCCATCGCCGCGCGCCTCGTCGCGGCGGCTGCTCTCGCGGCGCGCGACCGCGGCAGCCGCCTGCCCGCGGCGCCGCGGCAGGGGCATCGGCAGGCGTTGTTCTTGGGACCCATGCCAAGAAATCCTTGCCTCCAGCGTGCCCTGGGTTTCTTGGGTTTCGATGGTTTTGCGATGGAAACGGGTGCCGTTCCCACACCAAAAATCAATGGACGTGCTGAGGTCTCAGGGTTGGGTTTCTTGTGGAAGGTTTCTCGTGGACGGGTCTCCACCGTACACCAAACCGTGAGTTGGTGCCCGCCTGACTGAGAAGTGAAACATTGAAGACGGACCCCAGCATTGAAGTTCAAATTCCACGATCCTGAAAACCGCAGCCGCAAACTCAAGAATTGAGTTTGAAGCTCCAGAGCTGAATTGTGCAACTTTGGATCTCAATAGTGAACTGTTGGTTCAATCTTTGAGTACAGGTTCAGCATTCAAGTTCCATACTTCAACATTGAATTGTCCACCTCGCCAGCTTCAATATTGCACTTTCCACCTCGCCAAGTTGGGGAGCTGTCTTTCAAGATTGAGTTCAACGGAGAGTCGGATCAGCCCCACAGGGAGGAGCAGCTTCTCTTGGGATAGTCTGGAAGCCTTCTGATTCTCAACGAGCTCTCCAGGAGCTTCGCCGTAAGGCTACCCCCGCCTCCCATCTTCCTTTTCCCCTCGTTTCCGCTTCTGCAGCTCCCCTCTGAAGCTGAGCTCCGTTGGAGTCCGAACGCGGGCCTGACAGAGGGGCGATCTTGGGCGGGGGAAGCCCTCCCGACCTCCGAGGCAGTCTTCGGCGTTTTTTGCCGTTGAGGAACACGGACGCGCGCCAGCGCCACACGACCCAAACCCACCATGGGCCCGCCGACGGGCCCGAAATGGGTTCAGGTCCAGAGGAAGACGGGGAGGGGGAGGCAGAATGGGTCGGGCGGGCGGGACATGGAAGTGCGATGCGGCATCGAGAGTGCGCGCGCGCATGTCGGGCGAGATCTGGTCGGGCGGGCAGACCCCAACAGGCAAATTGGGTCGGGCGGGCAGGCCATGAAAGTATGATGAGCCCTCGAGTTGGCGCGCGTGCGCAGCGGACGATTCGCGTCCAGCGGGTCGGGCAAAGGCGGATCTTAACAGCGTGTCCGGTCGGGCAGGCGGAACATTTAAGCTTGTAAGCGCGTTGTAGCATCACAATGATACGCACGTGCAACGTGCGAGATCGGGTCGGGCGGGCAGACCTCAACAGGCGAATATGGTGGGGCGGACGGGATATCAAAGTATGATGCGCCCTTGAGTTGGCACGCGTGCACACTACCGCGCCTCGCGTCGGTGCCAAAAGGAATCCCTACTCGTGGCAGGGCAAGGTTCCCACAGCATACGCGCCCGTATCTTTCGATTACAAGGGTTCTGTTGCTGGCTGCCCTGCTGAGGCGTGGGAATCATGTGTAGGTAGTTGTGGCGTTGCTTTTGGTGGCGTTGATGGTGGCTGTCCGCGCGCACATTTTCAACCACCCGCTCATACGTAGCACCCGTGAACTTGCTGGAGCCACCACGGGTCCGTTGGGCACCCAAACGAGTGGTTACAAGCGCCGCAGCAAGATGATTGTAGCAACACGCTTCGAGCGCGCCTGTTCTGGTCGCGTCGCCCTCTGAGTCACGCGCGGCGAGCGAGCGAACGCCTGATTGCTTCCCCTGGTTGCTTCCCTAGTTGTGAGGGTGTCTCGAGCGGCGGCGCCCGAGTTGCGAGGATGTCTCGAGCGGCGGCGCCCGAGTTGCGAGGACGTCTCGGGCGGCGGCGTGCGAGTTGCGCAGATGCCTCCAGCGTCGGCGCTCGAGCTGCGAGGATGTCTCGAGCAGCGGCGCCCGAGTTGCGGGAACGTTTCGAGCGGCGGCGCCCGAGTTGTGGAGCTGTCGCGATCGAGCGGCGGAGCCAGAGCCGTGAGGATGTCTCTAGCGGCGGCGCCCGAGCAGCGGGAACGTCTCTGGCGGCGGATTCCGAGTTGTGAGGATGTCTCGAGCGGCGGCGCCCGAGTTGCGATGATATCCAGGGCGGCGGCTTCCGAGTTGCGAGGATGTCTCGAGCGACGGCGCCCGAGTTGCGGGGACGTCCAGAACGTCGTCGCCAGAGTTGTGTGGATGTCTCTAGCGGCGGCGCCAGAGTTGTGAGGATATCTCGAGCGAGACGGGAACTTCAATTTGGAAGTTCTACCTCCCAAGTTGAACTTGAATTTCAACAGTGAACTTGCTGACTCAGTATTGAACCTTGAACCGCAGCATTGGACCAAGACTTGAATATTGAACCTCGCAGCTTGAAAAGTTCAATTTTTGAATTTTGATTTTGGCAACGCAACTTGTGAATTTCATGAAACTCCGAGGACTGGAGGTTACAGATTGAAGGTCGGGAGTGAGATTTTCCTATGTTGGTTTATGAACTTCAGGATTTGGTGCCGGGTGCGTCTTGTTTCGTCGTTCGACGTCGGTCTCCTCTCCCAGACACTGGCCTCAAGATGGCAAAAAAGAACGCCCCAAGATGACGCTAAGAGGGACCCAAGAGGACCTCAGAAGGCCGACGTCATAGATTTCTTTCAGGTCCTCCCGTGATCTTGACGCTCTCGCCTTTCTGGCATCCGAGACGGCCCCGGCAGGCCACAGAGCCTCTCCCCAGGACCGGAGGCCCCTAAGACGGCCCAAGAGCAGAAGTCAAAACATCCCCCCCCACCACAATAACCACCCCGGCACGCGAAGTCCTTTCTAGTGAACACGCTCAAAGGAGGAAGCGAACAGGGCAGGGCTGTTTGTGAAACGCCCAGGGCCGCTTAGTAAACGCCAATTGTCTGGTCTGGGCGGTTTTTCCTCCCTTGAGGGGAGGAGCCCAACAGACCTCCTCGCGTTGTGAACAAAAAACATGACGCGAGGCTTCTCATGTTTTTTCCGGCCTCGGGGGGCCCTTCCCAGGCCCCGGGGCCGTCAAAGAACAACTCAGGAGATGAAAAACCGGTCCCGGGAGAGGGTGGTTTGTCGTCCTCCCTTGAAAGGGAGCCCCAAGACGGCCTCCCCTCCCAGACGATCTTGTCGGCAGCGAGGGCAGAAGACATCGCGTTCCAACAGCTGGCGGGCCGCGCCGACATCAGGGGCGCGCACGGGCAACTGCGGGGCTCAAGAGACGGGGGTCAAAGCAAACGGGGGTCAGCCAGAGCGCCGGATCTTTCAGGATCCTGCAGGGCCAGGAGCGCACTGACCTGGGCGTGGGCGCAGGATCCTGCAGGATCTTGCAGGATCCTTCGCATTGACCTGGTCTTGTGCGCAGGATCCGGCAGGATGTTGCAGAATTCTGCAAGGCCTGACTGGCCCAGTTCTGGATTGACCCGGGTCAGAAGATCCCCGACGATTGGGACAAGGAGGAGGGCGGCCGCGGGGGAGGAGCGCGGAAGGAGGCCGCGGGAGTAGAGAGATCGTCGCCACAGGAAATGCGCAGGCGGCCTCAGACGCCAATACCTCCCAGACGTGCGGCGCCTTGAAAAAATATCAGGACGGACGTGTGCGATTAAGTCGGGCACGTTCCTCTACAGGAGGAATATTCAGAATTAGTCCACCCAAAAAAAACATAGTCTGGGGACGATTTTCCTATTCCTTGCATATTTTGTGCATGTTTTAGGTATTGCTTATTTTTCTCATCCAAATCCCCCTGTAGGAGGACATGCCCGACCTAATCCCAGACGTGCAGCGCCTGGAAAATATCAGGACGGATGTGTACGTCTCAGGATGAACAGCCGGTCCCAGGGAAAGGGTCGGGTCTTCCGGGGACCCCGTAATCGTCGGAGAAAAAAACATGGCATCGCATGCTTGGGTTGGCATCCTCGAAGCTTCGAGGCTCGAGGACAGAACTTGGACATTCGTGCTGTCTTTTGGGTGCCCTCCAGGGGGCGCCTGGTCGCCACGGCTGGGTCCGCTTCGAGATCCTGACCCGCGCGCACCCCTGGAGCAGTGACGGGGCTCATGTTGTGAACCCTCGGGCCCCGCCACCCCCGGCGGGACTCGAGCCGCGACGGCCGCGGCGCTGGCTTCGGACACCGCGGGGGCGACTTCCCCCTCCCACGCTCGGCGGCCTTCCGACCGACCGATCTTTCCCCCAGACGTGCCGCTGACGAGCCGCGCCCTGAAAGGGATCACGGCGGGCGTCTTTGCAGTGTGCGGCCTCTCCGGGGGGTCTTCGCCGGGCC